ATCATTGACGGACACCACTTGATGAGTATAGCTCACTGGACAACTCGCCATAGGCTCTAACATGCCCACAAGTGTTCGAGTAGAGAGCTTTCAATAAGATGATGTACTTACTAGGCACGCCTTTCAGTGAGAGACTTTGCCATAAGACTTCTCGATCAACGGAGTCAAATGCCGCCTTCAGGTCGAGAAATACAGCTATTGTCGGGCATCTGTAAGCATGCCTATGTTCCAGGACCTGGCGCAGTGTGAATATTTGGTCGATACATCCACGGTCGTGTCTAAATCCTGCCTGGTTTTCTCGGGCTTGCTGTTCCCGAGCTCCACTCAGGCGTCGGAGAATTATAGAACTTAGGATCTTAGACACTATGTTCTTGAGGCTGATTCCTCTGTGGTTATCACAAGAAAACTTCTCGCCTTTCTTGAAGACTGGGATGATCAGTGACTTAGACCAGTCGGAGGGGATCGTATTTGATTCCCATATACTGGCTAACACTTCCGTTAACCTGACTAAGAGCACTCTACCACCATTCTTGTATACCTCAGCAGGTAGTCCGTCTGGTCCTGCCACCCTTCCTCGTTTCAAGTTACCTACCGCTTTCTCGACTTCTTCTAGTGTTGGGGGGCCTGTCTCTATGTCCCATTCAGGATCCGACTGGATAGCGGGCAACGCAATGGTGGCTGGAGGCCAGTTAAACTGTTCCTCGAAGTGTTCTGCCCATCGTCCCAGTCGTTTCCCCTGAGAGTGAATCGCAGATCCGTCCTTCTCCGCTATAGACTCACTAACTGTTGTTGATCTTTCCCCCAGTCTCCTTAATAAGTCTAAATAACTGTTTACTATTACCAATCGCCGCTTCCTTTTCCATCTCTTTAGCCTTCGCTGCCCACCACTATGTGGTTGTTGCGTAGATTTTTTCTTAATCTATTACTTTTAAGTTGCGCTCCCTCTTCATTGTACTCAGAGCCTGCAGGGAGGCGTTCACGTGCATCCATTAGTTCGGGGGAAGCTGCTGATATCCACTGGCTCTTTTAGGCGACTACTTTTGAGTCGGCTACGATCTTCAACGCTGCTTTTACAGCAGACTGAAGATGGCACCAAGCTTCTTCTGGATGAGTGGTAGTCTTTTGTTCCGATAGCTGCCTAGCCAACTTCTCACTGAACATGGCTTTGGTGTTTTCGTTGTCCAGCAGCACTCGTAGTGGTTTTGTTGCCAGATTTTTTCTACGTCCATTGAGACGCAGACATATACGTGCTCGGACCAACGCGTGACCGTTGTTCACCGATCCTCTCCAGCAATGACTAATAGCAATGTGGTCTATCTGTGTCCATCGCTGAGTTGAGCTCGGTGGACGCCAGGTCAGACAGTGCCTTTCTTTATGTCTGAAATTGGTGCTGGCTAAAAATAGGCGGTTATCTGAGCATAGTTGTAATAGGCGATCACCGTTATCTGTACGTTCAGCTGGGATTCCGAAAGTGCCACCTAAGTGCCTTTCTGCCTCACTCAGTCTACCCACCTGTGCGTTGAGGTCACCTGCAACAACCACCACGTCCGAACGTTTGGCTTTCGAGAGGAGGTTAGACAGTTTTTGGTAGAACTCGTCCTTCACTTCATCCGAGCTGCAGTCAGTGGGTGCGTAAGCAGAGATTACAAAGAGACAACGGCGAGTCTCACTATTCCTTTTAGTTCTCACTGTGCCGTTCAGCCTCATAGCGCAGAGGGATCTAGTCTAGTAGTGAGTTTTCTGCCCTGGTGCTTAATGCTATACCTACACCTGCAAGACCACGAGAGCTAGCTATCGAATCTCCAGAAACTCGAAGGGTGAATTTTGCGGATTCACCAGATTGGTCAGGAGAGGTCAGGTGAATAACCACACTTGGGTCCTGTATGCGTGTCTCACAAACACAGCACACATCCATGCCCGAGTTGCTAGAGTCTTTGCCAACGAAGCCTGTTGGCCAATTTGACGGAGGGTGCGGACATTGAAGGCTCCAATATGTAATTTGGAGCGTGGTTTAAGGAGACCAGTGATGCTGTTCTGTGGACTCAGATCGTTGTCGAAGGCTGCAGAGGTAGGAGAAATTGAAGATGATACAGCATCATTAATTAAGAGACGTGAAGGAAGATTAGAAGGTAATGATGGAGGAGGTGGATAGCAGTCAGAAGAAACTTGAGTGCTGACAGAGTTGTGAGGGCGGTTGACACTTCCCGGCTGCCCACACCGTGGAAGGCTATTTCTTCTTAAGGTACCTGAAAGAGATTTGTGTGACCGCAGAGCCCATCGGACATCTGCTTGAGGCCTGTCACACCCAGCCTTTTGAGTATGATTATTTTGAACTTTTGTATTTTTGGGGCCGGATGATGGAAAGGAAACGACAAGTGAAGCAACACCGCCGGCCCGGCAGACCGTGGGGTATGGTGGAGTGTGTTATTTTTGAGGCCGACCTTTTCTAACGGCCCCTTCCACTGAGAGGGCAGCATCAGCATGGCACTGCTGGTCATCCAAGGGAAACACTTACTGCTGTCACACCCCATCCAGCTAGCAGCCCTCAGACCCTCATCATAGTGTAGCAATTTACACCACAATCGTAACTGCTTTTCGTCTAACCACTATCCAACAGACCTTTCTGGTATGGTAGGACCTCGAGGGAACAAGCGTTCCACCAGCATAGTTCGTTGGGTCATTGTGATATGCAAGCCCGACCACGACGTCAAGGTAGCAGCTATAAGTCGGGCCATTACTGATTGCAGTTGTCTGTAGAATTCCTCCTCCTTCCCTTGGTCTGCATTATTTGTAGGTGCGTAGCGTAGCGTAGCATTGTATGATCGTGGCTTTCCTTCCTTTTGAGTTGATCCTTGCTGTCATGATCCTGATCGTGGAGGAGATTGGCTCCCACTGTATGAGTATGACAGACAGCCTTCGATGCTGTTGGGGACAGCATGATAGTCACTCGGAAACTCAGTGTGCTTGTGGTTATCATTCGGGTGACAATATTGGAGTAGATTATTGACTCTCCAGTTGACAGTTTGGAGAGTCCACTTCCATTCCATCTGGTTTCGCAGATTCCTAGTACTTCTATTCTCTGTTGTACCTTCTCATCTCTTTTGCAATGTGGGCAGCCTGGCTAGGTTCAAACATGGTGTGGACACTCGATGTCCCCATGTTTACTTTGGCTTTCATCGAGAGAAGAGAAAACACATCAGCCAATTGGCTTCCCGAAGGCTTTGACCAGCCAGCGTCATTTCTCCTCTCTGATTCCAGTGAGGAATAACTTTGTTTTTATTGTTTATATTTTATTTGTGGTTTGAAGTTTATTTAATGGTTGGATTGGTTTTCCGGGGTAGGGTTGCTTGCCGTGTTCCGAGCCTTCCCTCTTTATCTGTTCATAGGATCGGCTAGTAACTAGTGAACTAGTTAACCAGGCGAGGTTACTCCTCGACATACGGGTCCATATTTGGGTCTAAAACGAGCAAATTTGTAAAACTTTCGTGTATGTTCCACCTCAGGGAAATGTGCCATGGGCTCTGCAGTCACTCGTTGATCCTTCTTTTTGAGGCACCTGAAGGAGAACTAGCCTACCACGGCATTGACAGCCGGGAAGTGTCAACGTTCGCGAATCTCTGTAGGCACTCAATTCCCCTCAGGTCGCTGTCCACCTCCGACATGCTTAGCGTCTAGTGTTGGTTCACACCTCTCAGCAATGATCTGATTTTGCGGGAGAGCATCACTGTCTTAAAACCACGCTCCAAACTACACATAGTAGTTCCCAATATCCACACCGTCTTTCAAATAGGTCAACAAGCTTCACTAGTCATGGCTTTGGACGTGTGCTGTATTTATGAAACGCGCACACAGGACTCAAGTTTGGTTATTCATTTAGCCTCTTATCGCCATAATGGTGACTCCATCAGATTCACTCTTGGTGTGTCTGGAGATCCGATGGCTATTTATCGCAGTCTTGTGGGTGTAGGTATAGCACTAAATGCTAAAGCAGAAAGTTCACTTCTATACCAGATTCCAGTTGACAGCCACCCATATGCTGTTTGACTGGACTATACAGTGAGGAGTAAAGAGAGTAGTGAATATTGCCGTTGTGTTTTTAGTCTGTACCTACCCAGCCGCTGACTGCAGTTCTGATGAAGGGAAGAATGAATTCTGCTGAAAACTGTTCAACCTCTTACTGATAGCCAAACGTTCAAATTTAGTTTTTGTTGGCGGTGATTTCCGTGCACAAGTACTTGTTTGTTGGCTAAGTCAGGCAGCAAGATATTTTTGGAGAACGAAACATACTGGCGATCACCTGTAATGTTTGTGCTCAGACAACCCTCTATTTCTGAGCAACACGAAATTCAGACAAAAAGAGCGATGGTGTCTAACGTCCACCGATTTCAATTCAGCAGTAGACACGGGTAGACCATTTCGCAATCAGACTTCCGAATGAAAATTTTACTTGATAGAGTTGAATAAGTTGAGCATTGAGTAAATGGATTATAAGTGACTCTGAGAGAGTAGTTGAAAAGGGCCAGTGGATCTCAGTTGCTTTGCTGCTCTCTACTAGAAAAATGATGATAGGAAGCAACTCAAATGTAGGCTGACTGAAAGTCTATGCAATAATCACGAACGGTAGTGGGAGCGAAGGTTAATAAGGTGGGAAAAGTCGCGGCGATAAGTAGCTGTAGACATTTATTTATACTTATTAAGGAAACTAGTGCGAACAGGTCAGTGGTTAGGGAGAATATAGCAGAGAAGGATGGGTCTGCACTCCATTCGCAGGGGAGACGATCTCGAGACTGGTTAAAACGGGCCAGTGAGTCTCAGCAGTGTCGCAGCTATTTTCGGGCACGATTAGGATAGGAAACTTTGTTGCTTTAAATAATCGAGACTACCAACCTATTTTCGCTACCATATTTGTCTAATCATCGAAATTACCATTAATTCACTTATTACGAGTAGTATTGATGGTGATATTGTTTTTTCACTTCATGATTCTCTTTTCAATTTAGAGACAGCAACTTGCAACACAGCATCAACCAGCCAAGCATTCTAAAAGTCCTTCAATTGGTTCCTACATCTTTAACGGAAAGAATAAAACAGTATGCTAATTCTAAATTATGTTTGTTGTTATTCGTTTATAAATATCAACAGTATATGAGTGAATGCAGTAAAGTGAGGCAAGCCTCATTTTCTATGCCGTCAATACTTGCATGTACTGGATCTGATCCATTTGGTGTAAATTGTATCAAAAGATCTATCAGAAATCTTTGCTACTGGTGTTTACAAAATCCGATTCTTATGCTAATGCAAGTAGTATACCTTCTGTCAAGACCATTTGGTATGTGTTTGGTAAGTAAAAGTCTCTGGTATTACTTGGACTTAGTATTACTCTTATTTCCAGTATACACAGAAATAACCGACTTAGTGTTAAATAGTCGAATTTACATATAGCCATAGTGTAAAGTTATACACACTTTGCAAATAGTTGGATTATCTTGGTTGCTCAGAACAATTGTCGATACTTATTTTTCCACTCGAAATGTTTGATTATCATTGCAAAACATTTCGTTTACTGGTAAAGTTACGATATCGTACTAGATGTTCAATGGCTTTCGTTGATTGGCGTTCAACGAAATTTGATGGTTTGTTTTCAATTTTCAAAAAATTCTGTTATATTCGATTGTCAACGAATACTGTGAAAAATTTAATTATTATTAGTCCCTTCGGTTCCTAGTGGAACATAGGGCTTCAGTAGCACGCCTCCAGTGACCTCTGTTCTCTGAGATCTTTTGAACCTGGTCCCACGACAGCCCAGAAGCTCTCATTTCCTGCTCGCACGACCTCCTCCATGTCACCCTTGGACGTCCAACTCGTCGCTTCCCATCGGGATTCCACTCGAGGGCCTGACGCGTGATGTCCTCAGTCGGCCTTCTCAGTGCATGGCCAATCCATCTCCACTTCTTCCTGCATATTTGTTGCGTGATAGGTTCTTGGTTGGTTCGTTCCCAGAGTTCCTTGTTGCTTATTCTTTCTGGCCATCTGATCTTCAGTAGCGAGCGTAAGCAGTTGTTGATGAATGTCTGTAGTTTATTGGAAATGCCTTTCGTGACGCGCCAAGTCTCTGAGCCATACAAGAGCACTGACTTGACGTTGGTGTTGAAAATCCGTATCTTGTTCCGCATGCTGAGTGCAGAAGATCTCCACACTGGTTTCAGGCTAATGAACACCTGTCTTGCTTTTCCGATTCTGACTTTGACGTCCTCGTCCGTCCCGCCTGTAGTTGAAACAATGCTTCCTAGATAAGTGAAGGAGGTTACTTCCTTTAAGTTTCTCCCGTTGATGGTGATTGGAGTTTGTTGTTGTTGGTGGTGGTGCGGTATCTTCATCACCTCTGTCTTCTCTATATTCACCTGAAGTCCCGTCTTCGCTGCCTCTTCTATCAACTTGTTAGTTTTTGCCTGCAGATCTTCAAGTTTATGTGACATTAGGCATAAGTCATCGGCGAAATCCAAGTCTTCTAGGTTCTTTTCCGTCGTCCAGTGTATCCCCCTCTTCTCGCTGCCTACTGTTTGCTGCATGATCCAGTCCACCACAACCAAGAATATCATGGGGGATAGTAGGCAACCTTGTTTCACTCCTGTCTTCACTTCAAAAGCATCACTGAGCTTCCCATTGTGGATTACTTGGCATGTGGCATCTTCATATAGTTGTTGAATGAGGCGGATAAAGGTTTGCGGTACTCCGTAGTATTGAAGCAGCTTCCAAATTATTTCTCGGTCGACGCTGTCAAAGGCCTTCTCAAAGTCGATGAAGTTGAGGTAGAGAGCTGATTGCCATTCTATGCTCTGTTCTATGATGATACGAAGCGTTGCAATTTGGTCTGCACATGATTTGTACTTCCTGAAGCCTGCCTGTTCCGGTCGTAGTTTTGAATCCAGTGCATCTTTAAGCCTCTCCAGGATGATGCGGCTTAATATTTTACTTGGGGTGGACAGGAGAGTGATTCCGCGCCAGTTCTTGCAAACACTGAGGTCTCCCTTCTTCGGCAGTTTGACAAGGTAACCCTTCTTCCAATCGTCCGGTACCTTCTCTTCCCTCCACACCTTCTGCAATAGTGGTGTGAGCATGGCTGCTGTTGTCTCTGCATCTGTTCTCAGTGCTTCTGGCGGTATTCCATCTGGTCCTGCTGCTTTCCCACATTTCAGTAGCTTTATGGCGTTCAGGACTTCCATTTTCGTTGGGGGATTTATGTTCACTTGTAGTTCAGCGGCTGCAGGTGGTATTTCTGGACGAAGTGCAGGTGGTGGTCGATTCAAGAGCTTTTTGAAGTGGTCGGCCCATCGTTTCCTCTGTTTCTCTTCTTTTGTAATTAAATTTCCTTCTTCATCTTTTATTGGTTTCATCTGTGTTGGTCTCTTCCCTGATAGCAACCTGGTTATTTGATACAATGTCGTCAGGTCTCTCTTACCTGCAGCCTGTTCTGCTTCACTTGCCAGTGTTTCGTAGAAGTGTCTTTTGTCTTTGCGTGCACTCTTCTTCACTTCTTTGTCCAGTGTTTTATACATTGTGCTCAGTTCCTCTTGTCGTTGAGCATCCTTGCACTGGTTTATCTTCTGCTTCACCATCCTCCTCTCCTCTATCAGCTTCCAGGTATCCGTCGAGATCCATTCCTTGTCTTCTTTCTTCTTCCTTCCTAATACTGTTGTGCAGGTTTCTTTCCACATAGCTTTCAAAGACTTCCAGTGTTCTTCCACACAGGTTTCTTCAGGGATGTTGCTCGATGTCTCCCATTTTGTCTTGATGGCTGCCTTGAAGATCTCCTTTGTAGTTTCATCCTTCAGTTTCCGAGTGTTGTACTTGGGTTGAGGTCTATCACCAGCTTCCTTGAAGGCTTTTAACTTGATTTGGAAGGTTCCTTGCACTAGATAGTGGTCTGAGCCTACATCTGCTCCTCTTCTTGACCTTGTGTTAAGTAGACTGCGTCTCCATTTTCTTGAGATTGAGATAAAGTCGATTTGATTTTTAGTGTGTCCATCTGGTGAAATCCATGTCGCTTTGTGGATATCTTTGTGCCTGAACACACTGCCTCCAATCACCAAATCGTTGAATGCACAGAATTCTGCAAACAATTCTCCATTCTCATTCATTTCACCTAGTGCCTCTCGACCCATGGTTAGTTCTCTTCCCGTGTTGTCCCCTCCCAGTTTGGCATTCATGTCGCGCATCAGAATTTTGATATCGCCAACTGACGTCTTGTCCAGTGTTGATTGAAGTTGTCTGTAGAAATCCTCCTTTTTCTCTTGCTCTGCATTATTTGTAGGTGCATAACATTGTATGATTGTGACCTTTCTTCCTTTTGAGTTGAATCTTGCTGTCATGATCCTGGAGGAGATTGGTTCCCACTGCATGAGAGCCTTCGATGCTCTTGAGGACATCATGATAGCCACTCCCTCAGTGTGCTCGTGGTTGTCGTCTGGGTGACAATATCGGAGTAGATTATTGATTCTCCAGTTGACAGTTTGGAGAGTCCACTCCCATTCCATCTGCTTTCGCAAATCCCAAGCACTTCGATGTTATACCTTCTCATCTCCCTTGCAATCTGGGCTGCCTTACTGGGTTCAAACATCGTGCGGACATTCCATGTCCCCACGTTTACTTTCGCTTTCATCGAGAGAGAGAAGACACATCGGCCAATTGGCTTCCCGAAGGCTTTCACCAACTGGCGTCATTTCGCCTCTCCGATTCCAGCGGGGAATAAGTTTGTTTTCATTTTTTATATTTTGTTTGTGCTTTGAAGTTTGTTTAGCGGTTAGATTTGTTTTACGGGGTAGGGTTACTAGCCCTATGCCCAACCTTCCCTCTTTACCCGGGCTTAGGACCGGCTAGTAACTAGTAAACTAGTTAACCAGGCGAAAAATACAACTATTTATTCGAGCACTATGTGCTGCTTTAAGAGGGTGATATATTTAGAAGGACTAACATAAAAATAATTCGAATGATAGGCATACTGTGTTGTAACAAGTTGTTTACAGTCATTTTCGTTAAAATCATTTAATATCATGTCAGTATTTTGGTAGAAAACGGAAACGTTCTCCTGTCCTCAACATCACTTGAGTTTCATTTCATAACTTAAATACGTAGTTATGTGACACAATTATATCGAAGCTGAGTCTCTTACTTTGTTCATGCTGCTTACACTTGATTTACGTACAATTGTGGTCATTTGTTTCTAGGATGATGTCCAGTAAATAACTGACTAACTAATCCGCATCACCACGGTATAATCATACTTCACCATAGATAAGCTGAGTTCATATACTTTTTGACTGATATCATATGTCTTATGAATCAAAGTTGTGAATTTCTACCAAACAATTAATAGTGCACATGGAGAAAAATTGGGGTGTACGGTGTTTTCATTGTGCTTACACACTGACATTATTTGAAGAATTTACCTATAATTCGATACGTAAGCTGTTTTCGATGCTTGCTTGTGTTGGTGTTAAAATGGATAAATTGCAGACTTACATCAGTTGATGGGAACTCATTGTCCGCCTAAGGGCGTTCATATTATGTTTGATTAAACATTTATTATTTGAAAGTTAGATCGAAATCGTTTTTCATATTTTGCGTATGGGTTGCCGTTTCTTTTAATCTGTGTTCTGAGGTTTTCGAATCTTGGTAGTGTTGGAACGTTGGGTGGGACATTTCGAGGTTCAGTTTAACTGGCCTCCAGCTACTATTGCATTGATCGCTGTCCAGTCAGATCCTGAATGGAACATTGAGATAGGTCCCTCAACACTTGTAGAAGTCTAGGAAGCTGTAGGTAACTTGAAACAATGAATGGTAGCACAACCAGAAGGACTACTTCCTCAGGTATATATCGACGGTGGTAGAGTGACTTCAGTTAAGTTAACTGAAATGTTAACTAGTGTATGAGAGTAAAATATGATCCCTTCTAACTGGTCTCAATCACTGATTATCCCAGTCTTCAAGAAAGGCGAGAAGTCCTTTTATGATAACTACATAGGAATAAGCCTAACGAGCATAGTGTCTAAGGTTCTAGCTCCTATAATCGTTAGACACCTGAATGGAGCTCAGGAACGGCAAGCCCTAGAAAACCAGGTTGGCTTCAGACCTGGACATGGATGTGTCGACTAAATGTACACACTCTACAAGGTCCGGAATACAAGGACGCTTACCGACGCCCGACAATAGCTGTATTTCTTGACCTGAAGGTGGCATTCAACTCTGTTGATCGATAAATCTTATGGCAATATCTCTTACTAAAAGAGGTGCCAACTAAGTATATCACCTTTACTCGGACACCTGTGGGCGTGTTAGAGCCTATGGTGAGATGTCGGGTAAGTTATTTTCTTCTTTTGGTGTGCGTCAATGATGCCCAGTCTCTCCATTCTTACTCAGCTTTATCACAGACGTTCTCATGGAGGTCTCCCTTTCGTCATCTGACGACACGGATGGACTTGATCACGGGTGAATTTTTTTTAGATCTAGAATATGCAGATGACATAGTCCTGTTAGGTGAAGTCGCTGACAAGATGCAGACTTTTCTGGACTCTTTGAGTGGGAATTCGAGAATGTTTGGGATGCGTTTCTCACCATCCGAATCCAAATTATTGCTCCAGAACTGGTCTTCAACGACACCCCGGCTAACAATAGAGAGTGAAGTAAGTGGTTGAGCGCGTTGAACACTTCACTTACCTGGGATGTTGGATCAACCCTGGTGGGTCCGTGGCGTTGAAATCCCTCCAAGGATACAAGAGGTTCGGTTGGCTTTTGCCAACTTACGCCATCTGTGGCGCTGTCGTGATATCCGATTGTCTATTAAGGGTCCTGTGTACTGCACACCAGTCCGCTCTGTTCTACTGTATGGCTGTGAAACATGACCATTGAAGGTGGAAAACATGAGAAGGCTTCAGGTGTTTGACCACTGTTGCCTTCGAAGTATAGGCCGTATTGTTTGGTGTCACCATGTGAGTAATGCAGAAGTTAGGTGTAGAGTTTTGGGTATGAGAAGTAAGGCAGTTGAAGTGGTTGTGAACCTTCATCGACTGAGATGTCTGGGAAATATGTTACGTCTGCCTCGTCACACAATGTTGGCCGAAGTAGGTACAATCTGGAAAAAGGCTCGAGGTGGCCAGACTAAAACATAACATCAATGCATGGAGTCTTTAACTGTTCGTTTGAGCTATGTAGGATGATCCAGACTGAGTTGTCGTGGTCAACCGAACAAGAGAAACCAGTGGTTTGAGTCTCTGAGCGATATGGCTCAGAACTGATGTCAGTGGCGCAGGTGTATATACACGTTATCCTCATCCTAACCTCTATACTTAATCTCACCATCTCATTCCTCCTTCTACTTCCTTTGACCTATTTTTCTTTCCTTCTTCGTCTTTATTTTATTTCCTTGTTACTTGATGGGCTGAAATAAGATGCGGCAACTTAGACCGTTACACAGGAATAAGTGGTCCTATTTTGATGTTGATGATGATGATAATGGAACGAATATGTTGACCAGCAGTTTGATTTTGGTATCCATTTAAGTGGGCTGTGAAATGGTCATCTTTCGACCAAAGCAAGTCGAGACTACAGTTTCAAGTTCGATGTAGAGTTAATCAGAAATTAGTACAATAAATTCGATGCCTGCACACGCCTACCTAGGCGATCTGCTTTCCCATGAAAAATATTTCATCCAGTTCTTCCCTTCCGGTTTGTTTTAATCTCTTTAATAAGTTTTCTAAACGTATCATGTACTGTCGCACATTTTTAAGATGTTTTCAAACTGTCATTCCTCCAGCTGAGAATGAAACAAAGAAAACCGTTACGACGAATGAAAATGGACGTATACATGCTCAAAAATACAGTACAGTACTATTTCTAGAATACCGATATCGAATGCAGACTTTTGTACTGCCTGACTGAACTACCACCACCATAATTACACTCGATTTTGCATTCATCCTTAAATCCAGACCAGCTGCTAATATAACACTAGCTACTCGTTTCACATTAGTACGTTTAATACTGTTGTTGTTATTAACAATGTTCAGACGCAATAATTGTTTCTTTGAAAAACATTGTACTGGGAGTGAATTAGTTAAATATCACCTGCTGAAAATTCCATAATGTAATAACGGTGTTTTTTGGAATAAAGCGATTTATTATTATTATTATTATCATTATTATTATTATTATCATCATCATCATTATTACTGTTGTGATGATGGTGATGGATCAGTCGCAGCTACTCGAGTCTACTGATGACTGCAGTTCAAATATAGGATTCTTAACATACTATATATATTCAGTCCCAGTAATAGAGATGAAAGTGATAAGACTGTCATAAATAAGTTCTGTAATGTTTTGGGTCTATGACCATAATAAACCAGTTTTTTTTTGAGAAAATTTTGCTTTGCAAGATTAAATTACGATGCCTTTCATTTGTGTCAATTTTTACTAGGATCAAATGGCAGCCAATCCTATTTTTTGTGTCATGGATAAGTTTACAAGTATGCAACATCCAACTTTCAGGTATTCAAAGATGATCCCATATATCGATAAGTGCAGACCCTCAACATCATTACTGGAGACACTGCCAACGGGGAATTAAATTTTTTATCTGAAACTCTGTTTTCCCATACACAGAACATTTTTGTAAAAATACAGAGACAAGAGTGAGGATTTAAAATACAAATAAATTTATTTTCTCTCTTATTTTCGTGTTTACACCGCATATTGGATGACATGTTTTCAACTTCATAAATGCCGTATGATCTCATCATATGATGAGGGTAGTGCATATTTCATTAGTTAGTAATGCCAGCTCACTTGCCAATTTATTCAGTGACCATTTTGAATAACACATAAATGGCATAAAACTGTTTTTTCAGCAAGCCTATTCTTTCATCTTACTCTCTTATTGGTACAACTAAAAGTGAATCAGTGCCATTCTGTCAATCAGTTTGTGTTACGTGAATTGTGATTAGTTGGTTTAAAAAGGATTAGAACAGTTGATGATACAGTTTCACGATATAATTTAAGTAAATGTTTCAAGGTTGACAGTGCACTAACAGAATAAGCTTGTCGAGTCAATGATCCAATAATACTCTGATCAGTTCGAATAGTAATTTCCTGAATTCTGTTACAAATTTGAATCTTCCTGTAGATGTAATCAATAGACTCTGATTTGATCTGACATATGAGGTTATATTCAATCAAAGTTTTGGTTTTAATATCATTGCAGCCTGTTGACTCTGAAGAATCTAATACAACTTTAAAATTTAGTCTTTTTTCTTTTTGAGGTTGATATCTAAACATGAAAAGTATTTCACTTCAAACAATACACATTTTTGATGTTTATTTAGTTTTCATACCATATGATAACACGCTTAACATGTCAGATAACTTTTACAAGTGTGACGATTAACTAATTGATCAAGTATACCTCCTAGAGATGTTTGCTGATCATTCCTCCAACTGATGTCAGTCTACGATGAATACTAACTTGAAAATATTTCTAATCCCCACAACCCCCTCATTGTGACTAGCTTCGAAAGGTGATTCGTGAAGTTCTAATGAGAAGTCGTGACCAGTGGGACTAGCCTGATGGCCGTGAGGACAGTTACTCAACGATGAAATTGGGTGGCGGTTGCGCTATGTCGTGAAGTGACAGAAGTTGGAAATATGGACCATTGGATTCTGATCCAGTGGCTCAATGGTAACGTGCTGGCAACGGAATCTGAAGGGCGCGGGTTTGGTCCTGGCGGGGTCGTGGTGCGCACTGCTGAGGAGTCCAGTAACAGGACGAAACAGCTGTCCAGCGCTCCCAGGTTTCCATTGTTTCTCTAACTGATATCAGTCTAGGATGAATACTAACTTGAAAAAACTATCTAATTGTGATTTTTCTTACCATTGTAGATCATAGCGAAGTGTTTTACTGAATATTATCCGTATTTCTTAATCACAGGGATTTCTGAAACGTCAGAAGTGTTTGTAGGTCTAAACATATCCAGTCATAGTCACTTTTTATGTTGAGTAAAAAAGATTTTAATATCTTGGTTGACATAAGACTTTTTGCGTGTTATTTTGGAGTCCTGAAACAGATTGATTCAGTTTCACACAAGCTTAGTTTCCCCGCTATCAATTTTACGCCTACATACACTACTACCGTAAGTGTTTCAGGTATTCCTCTCCATAAAGTTGATGTCTGTCTTTTATTCAATATTGGCATTGTATCACTTACCCTCTGCTTTGAGAAGGTTAGCAGTATTGATCTGACAAAATAAAATAATCTGAAAGATTTCTCTTAGCTTTGTTTTTGAGAGTATGATATGAAGGATATCCTCATGTGTCGATTGGTTTTATGTTTGGAAGAAACTTGTATACATGAGTTTTGATTGCATACAATAATAAAATGGTCGTTTTTCTGTTTTCCAACACAAGCGGTCGTTTGCATTCTCTTTTGTTTAAGTCTAAAGTAGTGAAAGTTAATCATTTTGGTAGTACATTTCCTAGTTTCTTTTGTGATTTTTTATAGTGTCAATGATGAATTCATTGGTATTTCTACCCATCTTTTGTTTGACTTTTTAATGTATTCAACGTTTGATAACAGTAGTCGTTTCAAATCCCGACCGATAGCTGCTACCTTGACGTGGTGGTCGGGCTTGCATATCACAATGACCCAACGAGCTATGCTGGTGGAACGCTTGTTCCCTCGAGGTCCTACCATACCAGAAAGGTCTGTTGGGTAGTGGTTAGACGAAAAGCAGTTACCGTTGTAGTGTAAATTGCTACACTATGATGGGGGTCTGAGGGCTGCTAGCTGGATGGGGTGTGACAGCAGTAAGGTGTTTCCCTTGGATGACCAGCAGTGCCATGCTGATGCTGCCTTCTCAGTGGAAGGGGGGGTTAGAAAAGGTCGGCCCCAAAAATAACACACTCCACCACGCCCCACGGTCTGCCGGGCCGGCGGTGTTGGTTCACTTGTCGTTTCCTTTCGCTCATCCGGCCCCAAAAATACAAAAATTCAAAATAATCATACTCAAAAGGCTGGGTGTGACAGGCCTCAAGCAGATGTCCGATGGGCTCTGCGGTCACACAAATCTCTTTCAGGTACCTTAAGAAGAAATAGCCTTCCACGGTGTGGGCAGCCGGGAAGTGTCAACCGCCCTCACAACTCTGTCAGCACCCAAGTTTCTTCTGACTGCTATCCTCCTCCTCCATCATTACCTTCTAATCTTCCTTCACGTCTCTTAATTAATGATGCTGCATCATCTTCAATTTCTCCTACCTCTGCAGCCTTCGACAACGATCTGAGTCCACAGAACAGCATCCCTGGTCTCCTTAAACCACGCTCCAAATTACATATTGGAGCCTTCAATGTCCGCACCCTCCGTCAAATTGGCCAACAGGCTTCGTTGGCAAAGACTCTAGCAACTCGGGCATGGATGTGTGCTGTGTTTGTGAGACACGCATACAGGACCCAAGTGTGGTTATTCACCTGACCTCTCCTGACCAATCTGGTGAATCTGCAAAATTCACCCTTCGAGTTTCTGGAGATTCGATAGCTAGCTCTCGTGGTCTTGCAGGTGTAGGTATAGCATTAAGCACCAGGGCAGAAAACTCACTACTAGACTGGATCCCTCTGCGCTATGAGGCTGAACGGCACAGTGAGAACTAAAAGGAATAGTGAGACTCGCCGTTGTCTCTTTGTAATCTCTGCTTACGCACCCACTGACTGCAGTTCGGATGAAGTGAAGGACGAGTTCTACCATAAACTGTCTAACCTCCTCTCGAAAGCCAAACGTTCGGACGTAGTGGTTGTTGCAGGTGACCTCAACGCACAGGTGGGTAGACTGAGTGAGGCAGAAAGGCACTTAGGTGGCACTTTCGGAATCCCAGCTGAACGTACAGATAACGGTGATCGCCTATTACAACTATGCTCAGATAACCGCCTATTTTTAGCCAGCACCAATTTCAGACATAAAGAAAGGCACTGTCTGACCTGGCGTCCACCGAGCTCGACTCAGCGATGGACACAGATAGACCACATTGCTATTAGTCATTGCTGGAGAGGATCGGTGAACAACGGTCACGCGTTGGTCCGAGCACGTATATGCCTGCGTCTCAATGGACGTAGGAAAAATTTGGCAACAAAACCACTACGAGTGCTGCTGGACAACGAAAACACCAAAGCCATGTTCAGTGAGAAGTTGGCTAGGCAGTTATCGGAACAAAAGACTACCACTCATCCAGAAGAAGCTTGGTGCCATCTCCAGTCTGCTGTAAAAGCAGCGTTGAAGATCGTAGCCGACTCAAAAGTAGTCGCCTAAAAGAGCCAGTGGATATCAGCAGCTTCCCCCGAACTAATGGATGCACGTGAACGCCTCCCTGCAGGCTCTGAGTACAATGAAGAGGGAGCGCAACTTAAAAGTAATAGATTAAGAAAAATCTACGCAACAACCACATAGTGGTGGGCAGCGAAGGCTAAAGAGATGGAAAAGGCAGCGGCGATTGGTAATAGTAAACAGTTATTTAGACTTATTAAGGAGACTAGTGAAAAGATCAACAACAGTTAGTGAGTCTATAGCTGAGAAGGACGGATCTGCGATTCACTCTCAGAGGAAACGATTGGGACGATGGGCAGAACACCTCGAGGAACAGTTTAACTGGCCTCCAGCCACCATTGCGCTGCCCGCTATCCAGTCGGATCCTGAATGGGACATAGAGACAGGCCCCCCAACACTAGAAGAAGTCGAGAAAGCGGTAGGTAACCTGAAACGAGGAAGGGTGGCAGGACCAGACGGACTACCTGCTGAGGTATACAAGAATGGTGGTAGAGTGCTCTTAGTCAGGTTAACGGAAGTGTTAGCCAGTATATGGGAATCAAATACGATCCCCTCTGACTGGTCTAAGTCACTGATTATCCCAGTCTTCAAGAAAGGCGAGAAGTCTTCTTGTGATAACCACAGAGGAATCAGCCTGAAAAACATAGTGTCTAAGATCCTAAGTTCTATAATTCTCCGACGCCTGAGTGGAGCTCGGGAACAGCAAGCCCGAGAAAGCCAGGCAGGCTTTAGACCTGACCGCCGGTGTATCGACCAAATATTCAAACTGCGCCAGGTCCTGGAACATGGGCATGCTTACAGACGCCCGACAATAGCTGTATTTCTCGACCTGAAGGCGGCATTCGACTCCGTTGATCGAGAAGTCTTATGGCAATGTCTGTCACTGAAAGGCGTGCCTAGTAAGTACATCACCTTATTGAAAGCTCTCTACTCGAACACTTGTGGGCATGTTAGAGCCTATGGTGAGTTGTCCAGGGAGCTATACTCATCGAGTGGTGTCCGTCAATGATGCCCACTATCTCCGTTCTTATTTAATTTTATCATAGATATTCTTATGGAGGTTTCCCTCTCGTCACCTAACTACACGAGGTTGACCCAATCACAGGTGAATTTTCTTTTAATCTAGGATATGCAGATGACATAGTCCTGTTAGGTGAAGTCGCTGACAAGATGCAGACTTTTCTGGACTCTTTGAGTGGGAATTCGAGAATGTTTGGGATGCGTTTCTCACCATCCGAATCCAAATTATTGCTCCAGAACTGGTCTTCAACGGCACCCCGGCTAACAATAGAGAGTGAAGTAAGTGGTTGAGCGCGTTGAACACTTCACTTACCTGGGATGTTGGATCAACCCTGGTGGGTCCGTGGGCGTTGAAATCCCTCCAAGGATACAAGAGGTTCGGTTGGCTTTTGCCAACTTACGCCATCTGTGGCGCTGTCGTGATATCCGATTGTCTATTAAGGGTCCTGTGTACTGCACACCAGTCCGCTCTGTTCTACTGTATGGCTGTGAAACATGACCATTGAAGGTGGAAAACATGAGAAGGCTTCAGGTGTTTGACCACTGTTGCCTTCGAAGTATAGGCCGTATTGTTTGGTGTCACCATGTGAGTAATGCAGAAGTTAGGTGTAGAATTTCGGGTATGAGAAGTAAGTCAGTTGAAGTGGTTGTGAACCTTCATCGACTGAGATGGTTGGGAAACGTACCACGTATGCCTAGTCACCAATTGCCTTGTCACACAATGTTGGCCGAAGTAGGTACAATCTGGAAAAAGGCTCGAGGTGGCCAGACTAAAACATGGCACCAATGTATGAAGTCTCTGACTGTTAGTTTAAGCCATGTAAGACGATGCAGACTAGGTGGTTGGGGTCCACGGGACAAGAGGAACCAGTGGGTGGAGATTCTAGGTGATATGGCTCAGAACTGATGTCAGTGGCGCAGATGTATACACACATTATCCTCATCTTAACT